CGTGGATAAAGACATCATAGAGATCCATGAACCATCCGCTGCCCTTGTCTGCAGCTGAATTGTGACCCAACACAACAGCCAACATTCAAGCGGCCATGAAGAATTTCCAGGTGGCATCAGGAGCCAGAGAACTGCTGACACCAAGGGGAGCAGAGTCATGGCCGCCATCATAGGCGATAAATGAAACCGGCTTAGAGCAGCCCTTGAAATCGGTGCGGACCGAACCATGGCTGCCAGATTGTGGTTTGCCAACGTTGGCTTGCTGGCATCTATTGTTCTTCACAAACTTCTCGGCCAGTTGAACGCCCCCTTGGAAGGGCAGCACACCATCATTGATGCCGTGGATGCCGAGGTAAGCAATTGGGTCGTTACCACCAGCGCAACCGCTGATCACACCACCACTCAGGACAGAGACAGCCTTAAACTGCTTCGCACGCGAGCAGGCTATGGAGTAGGACATGCCACCGCCCCAGCTAAAGCCTGTGGCAAAGCGAGAGCTCTGGTCAACGCAGAGGTCACCCTCGACTTGCTTGATGATAGCGTCGATGAAGGCAATATCCTCGCCGCCGTTGTTGGCCCAGCCATTATTCTTGCCGTTAGGGGCGACGAATATGGTGCTGCCCTGAGCGCGCGACTCGAGGCCATACCAGGGCTGAACACTGTGGCCGTCAACAACGTTCCACATGTTGCCGCCGCGCCAGTGCAAGCCAAAAACCAGATGATGGGCTTTGTTTTTATCGTAGTTGTCAGGGACCTTGAGTATATACTCCCGGCCATTGAGGTTGTGGACACCGCTGTTGAGACTCGGCTGTTTGCCGCAGCCAGAGGATCGAGTTTCAGCTAGGACTGAAGGCGTGAGGGCGCTCAGCGCCAGAATGGCCGAATATATCATGGTTGGAACCATTGTGAATATAAACAGGTAAGTTGATGGATGGGTATGACAGTAGGTGATATTATGGAAAACGGATGGTCCTCGCAGGGCAGCTGAGATTCCTACAAAGCAATTTCATGATGGCAATTGTGCCTGGTATTTATAGCTTTGATCGTACGAGCCAGAAGCTTCAACCTCCCGGCTGATGTTGACCAGGAATTTCTCTACATTGCCGAAGAGAAGATCTGCAAAAAGCTGTGTTTCGGGGTGAACCTGCCATCAGCTGTGTGCATCTCCAGTTCGACTTGGGCGATAGCACACCTCCGCTCCGCTTTGCGCCAGAGACCCTGCTTCGACAGGCTTCTGCAGATGTGTGGGCCTGCTGTTATGGTACGTAGGGAAAACATACGGTGCCTAGTGCCAAGACGGCTGCTAGCCCTTTGGGGCCACGGGGGATTGGTCCGAAATGGTTACCCTGAGACCCTGAGTCCCAGAATGTCTCATCGACCTTTTGCCAAGATAGGATGCACCCTTAGAGCTATGCCAAAATGGCGCCGTTTCGGTTGATGAAGATACCTCCAATTTGCCGACATGCATTGGTTTGCCAGACGGACTGACTCGTTCTGTAACAGAAATGTCGCATCTTGAATCCACCGTCCAATTGCAACCTGCGACTTACGGTAGACGACCGAATACGGATTACCCTCAAGCGACGCATCTTCCCCGTACTTTACGTTGGCCAACTAGTAGTTAGTTTAACCGGAGACAACTCCACTTTCTATCACTTCAGGTTAGAGCGCATGGACGCCACTGACCTCTTGAGACCCTGGCCTGGTAACCGCTAAATTTCAGGACATCTCTGACACGATATAGGATCCGTCATCGGCAAGTGCAAGGTACGCTATATACCGAAGACTATACGCTCCTGCGAATCTACGCGATCAATTCTGGTTCTTCTCTTGTAATTCAGCCTGAATGTCAGTGTCCAGGCTCTCACACCTAGAGAACAGGCAGTCGGCAAGTGGATTGTATCGCCAACTCTAGAGCTTCGCCAAGCCTAGACCTAGGTGTCTTGGACTTCTCCGTTTTTCCTTGCCTCACCGTAGGTTTGTGCCAAAAGCAATGCCCTTCATCTGATGGATCAATTACCTGCTATACAAGTCTTCAATGCCAACTACAAGCACGGTCCGTCTTTACCTTTTTGCGAACCTTGACCTAGTCTAAGATAGATGTATAGCTGAGATACGAGCTACAGGGCCCCAAAAAAAGAAATATGTACATGTCTAGCCAGCTCAACGGGAGGAGACTAAAAGAGTTGAGCTCCCACGCCTAGATGATATCTGGAAGTGCTAGGGTCTTAGGAGCTCCCTTCAAAGGAATTTACGTGAAACAACCGAAGCTTAGGGCGCCTGAGGGCATGACGTGGATCCACGGGACCCGCCAACGTGAAGCACGGCCAGCGCCGTTCCTCGCTTGGCATATTTCGGATAGAGTGATGCTATTCGGACGTGAAACTCGTTCGAAGAAAACTCACCGATAACAATCTGTGCTAGGTGATACAGGCGCTGAGAACTCAAGGTTTATAAGGAAGGCCAATTCCTCTGTTCGTTAACCTCAGCAGATTCACCGCGTGTCTGTCTCTACTGTTCGATTCTTCTACCACAGATCAATTTTTCTTTTTTTCGGGCCGGTCCCCTTTCATTCTCTCTTGTACCAATAGCTCACCCGCTCTTTCCTTTGCACTTCTCAAGATGAAGCTGTCCCTTCTTGCTGCTGTGGCCATGGTGCCATTTGTGTCTGCCCATTACTTTTTTGATGTCCTGGTCATCGATGGCAAGGAGACTAAAAGCAACGAGTTCGTTCGCTCCAACACCCGCCAGGCCAAGTACAACCCGACCAAGTGGAAGAACATTCGCGACGACATGACGCCTGATATGACCGACTTCCGCTGCAACAAAGGCGCCTTTACCTTTGCTGGCAAGACAGGCGTGGCCGAGGTCAAGGCTGGCTCCAAGCTTGCTATGAAGCTCGCCGTCGGTGCCACTATGCAGCACCCGGGCCCTGCCTTGGTGTACATGTCCAAGGCTCCAAGCAGCGCAAAGACCTATCAGGGAGATGGTGACTGGTTCAAGATCCACGAAGAAGGCGTTTGCAACAAGGGCGCCGACTTCACCAAGAATGCCTGGTGCACTTGGGACAAGGACCGCATTGAGTTTACCATTCCTAAGGACCTTCCTGATGGAGAGTACCTCATCCGCCCTGAGCACATCGGTATGTGCATTCTTCAACTTTCCTCCTCCTTAGATACACGATACTAATCCAAATACAGGTATTCACGGAGCCCATGACGGACAAGCCGAGTTCTACTACACGTGAGTTCTACCTCTGATTTTCAGCAGTCTAATAGATCGTTCTGACCAGAGTCCAGCTGTGCCCAAGTCAAGGTCGTCGGCGGCGGCAAGGGCACCCCCGGTCCTACTATCAAGTTTCCCGGCGGATACAAGAAAAACGACCCCTCCTTCAACTTCAGCATCTGGGGTGGCTACAAGGATTATCCTATGCCTGGTCCTGCTGTCTGGACCGGTGGCTCTGGCTCCACCTCGTACTCCAAGGCTGTCAACGTCACCGATTCCGATGAGTCTTCCCAGTCGGGTGCTTCTTCCTATCAGGACACTTCGAGCGCCTGTGCAAACGAGGACTACAGCCGCCAGCACGCTCGTGACTTCAAGTACTAGACTTGGACTGGCCTCGCCTGTTTCAAGCCTACTGTCGAGTGTTGGAATCGGTTCCTCGGAGATATATGGCTAGGTACTCTTCTCTTGGACTTTATGCCATTAGTGATAGATCAATCTATTTCGCGGTGATTCAATATACAAAATAGTTATCATCTACTTTGGTAGAGGTTATTCGTAGACGCCAACCGCATACAAATTGGAGAGACAAGTAAGCGTCTCGATGGGCGGACCAACCATAGGTACCCAACCTGCAAGGGGCTGATTCTCCCCCTTAGTAGGTACCTTAGACTGGGGCACCTGAAACAATAGGAGGTGGGTCCCGGTCTAAAACTAGTGGTAAGCATAAAATAAACCATAGTAAGGACCCATAGTAAGAAAGAGTATGTATGGAATAGGTACACTACGGAAAGTCTGGCACTCAAGGCACAAGCCTGTTCCCCACGTGTGATGCATTACTGTCCGTCCCCTGAACCCTCGTTAACCACTTGTTTATATTGCATTAGTATGACGTCTGTTTGACATTTCCTTGAGAAAACTGACATTGCTCGAAATTTCAGTCATTCTCCTCGTCCCTTTGATCACCGAGTCTGAATTTCTGGTTGGTTTCTGTTAGCCTGTTGTTATTTTTGAAATCTCAATAGGTCAGCTACTGGTTATTCAAAATAGAATCCAAGGCGGAAATACATTGCCTCCTTCGCGTACCTAAATCTAATCAAAGGAACACCAGGTCTCACCTAGGGAATCCAGTTGTCGTCCGCGTCCTACGGCATGATTTGTAGAATTTTCGCGTCTCGGCGCAGGTCCTTGGCCAGGAGCCTTAGGACGGCGAGGAGGCCGCCCTGTTCAAGACCTCAGTTTTTTGGCAGTGCTTGTGGGCTAAGCCTATAAAGCGAGCATATGTCTGAACTTCCTGTGTTTGATATCTGGTCTTTCATAGCAGAGCTTGAGCACCATTCTGTTGGCGTACCAACACTAGTGAGGAGAGGACGGCTCAAGCTTCTTTAGTAAAATTTTCATCAGTATATCCTTACTACGATCTACTGTTGGCAAAATCTTGTAGAAAGTCATCAATTCGTAAAAGCTATCAAGCTAGCTGTGGTAGACTTCGAAGTGTCTCCATGTGCTAATGCACTTCAAATCTTCGCATCGAAAGATAATTCAATATCCTTCATTTAATAAGATCGAGAACCTTATGACTCGACGAAGTCTTTTCATAGGAACGGAACCTCGATAAGCTCAAGCCACTGGAGGGATTCTGTTACGGCATTCTCCACCAACACAGGACTGGCTAGGGGGACAATCCATGTTCATGCCGCAACGAGTCTCTGCATGGACGGCTTCTACCGGGAAAAAAAGTTAGCCGGGCTGAACATCCCACTAAAAGGAAACAAGTGCTAACCATCAGCACGGGCACCGAGGGCACCAATGCTAACGCAAACGCTGCGGTAGCAGAACTGATGAGGGGGGCACCACAGGTTGATATTGTTGCAGCGACGCGGTTCACCCTCAGTGTCGAGGTTGGTTTCTGAGAATCAAGTCATGAGATTTGGGTTATGGAGATAACGAGGAAGATCTCACCCTCATCACGCGTGGCAAGTTCAGGAGGTAAGATTCCGACGACGCATTTCTTATTAATGCAAAGCGCATAAAGTCCACAGTCTTGGTTATTGTTGCAGGTGAGAGTGGCAACATCAACTCCATTAGCCTCGAGAGTAGTCACTAAGGCAAAACAATTAGGCACATGCGTCAGGAGGTGTCAAGGCAGAAGGACTCTCACCGTCAGCGGGGGTAGCAAAGTTCTCAAAAGCTCCTTTGGCGGGAGTAGCATCGTCTAGCTTATTAGAGGCTTGAATTCCTGTATTTGAAGAGAAAACTCACTGTTGGCATCGACCACTCCATTGTTGACCTCAGGGAGAGCAAGCGAAGCTGCAAGAGGGGCAAGAAGGAAAGGGATAAGAGCGTGAAGCTTCATCCTGAAGCAAAGAGTTGGCACAGCTTAAAGTTGTTTAATGCTTTGATGATAAAGGGACTTGGTAAAGCGGCAGAAGTAGGTGGGTGACAGAAAGAATAAGAGTGGATGGGGGGTGTAGGGGGGTTATTTATAGAGAGTGATGAGGGAGGTAAACCCCGGGAGTGAAGTGAATGTCACTACAACAGGTGGAGACTCTGTGAAGGAACTTGAGGCAAGCAGAAGGTAAAATGCTGGATTTACTACTCTATTCTCACTGAAAACAAAGCTTACTGCTATACTTATGACTCTGGAATACGGCTTAAACTAATTCAACTGCTTGCGGAAAAACTGAACTAAATGGTTCCTCGGTGTTCTAGATCAATTTCACACCTAGGCATTAACAGGTTATGGAATTGCTTCGTCTGGGAGCAGCTACATTATCTGATTGGAGATATGGCCGAGATGGATCCCAGACGTCGATGCAATGCAATTCCAGTTATAGACACCTCCACCTTGGGAGACAATAAACATAAAGCTAACGTCTTGATCATTCATTTATAGGTTCAATGGTGCAATTAGCGACTGTTTCCACCGACTTCCGTCCCAAACGCCATCTTTGCCGTTTCCTAACTCAAGGGCAATTCTAGCGGATTCGTCTGACGTTGAAGGGGGCCGATTAGTCTTGTCTCCGTCCTCTGCCAAACCATAATTGTCGTTAATGACTCGAGAATCGCCCACGATCTCTTGGAAAATACTCCTCTGTCTACTTTCGCGGCCTCCATGGTGTTTGCTTGTCACATTCGAGCACTGAATGTCCGTCGAACTGCTCCAGCTCGCAAGCAACAGGCTCAGGGTTGATTGGTAATATGGTCTAGCCACACAGACGTACACTTATCCCCTAAGGATTTATGGTCCTTGCAAATATCTGGTACGGTACTTAAACCCTGGAAGATACCCGGATTCATTCCGATTCCAAAAGGGGTTTTACGCACGGTCTCAACGTTTATCTCGAACCGATGACCTCCAAGCCTGAGCGGGTCGTCGAAGCCGACGGCATTACACCGGAGCAAAATCGCCACGCATTATCATTTGCATTCGGACGTCGTGTGTGTTCAGGGAAGCTCCTTGCGGACGCGACTATCTTCCTCGGTGTCGCCCAGTCACTGGCTGTGTTCAACGGAGACATCGGCGCAGGAGACATCAGCCCGAGCTTTTGACCAGTGGAATGAGCTATCCGGCTACAAGCTATACGTCACGCCTAGGAACCCGGCACGGGAGAAGAAAATTCGGTTCATTGAACTTGAGCATCCCTGGGAGCAAAGTGATGCTGCTACTTTGGAAAATGTGGTATACTAGACTGCTGCTAATAATGCCTTGACTCCCGATTTTTCGGTCATACTTCGCAATGATGAATGAAACCTATGTCAGACCTGCGTAAGGATCTAGTTGAAGCTAAGAGGTATGAGTTCTTTGAGTCGTCCTGTCTTTGATCACACTAAACAAGTTGTCTGGTATTTCACTATCGAACAGCTGTAGCAAATTTAGGAATTCTCTCCACAAGTTATCAATAGCAATTCAAGAACCTTCATAACATCCCTTTAACCCCATTCATCAACAATTCAGACCAGGGAGCGAAAGGGAGCGAACCATAATACAAATCCACAAATTGTGCGCCAGCATATAAGCAATAGAAGGCCCGTCTATATCCGATATAATTTATAAAAAAAAAAAAAAAAAAAAAAACTCATTTCAGTGAGCTGTGATCCCATCAGAGTAAGGCTGGTGTTCAATAGACCGCATCTATTCGTCAACCTACTGTGGTGCGTGCCTCGGACTTTATCCTAAGCGAGTAAGCTTCCAGCTATCAGGCTTGAAATGTGCCCTCAAGGTTGTCATTCAATACGCCGGGCTGTTCGTTCTGAGCCTCTAGGTCCTCTACTTTTGTCTTCCGTGCGACAAGGTCATCAACGACAGCTGGTCACGCATCGAGAACATGAGAGCCCACTGGATATATACCTTTGGAGAGCAGAACTTACCGCAAACGAGCCAGTGTTCATCATTGTAGACATATACTATGGTCTCTTTGCCGTTTTCACTGAACCGAAATGCTACAGTGGGTTTCCCACGGAGCCTGGCAGTTGAGAGTATAAGTTAGCAAGGCAACTTATCCATGCTAACTACAGAAATACGTACCTTACTGTAACAAATGCTGCACCAATGGTACAGAAACAGTAACGCAATTGTAACGAATGTATAGAGACCCAGCATCAGGAACCACAATGCCCAGGCACCAGGGCTGTCTGTGGCCATCCTGCTTGTTTATCTGAGTTTAGGCTAAGGACTTGATGAACGCGTGTAAACAAGGATTGAAAGATTTCGAAAAGACGGTCAACGGCAGAGTCTAGATATTGAGAGCTAGTGATGCTGCTGATATTGAAAAGCGTTGAAAGGAAGGGGTTGATAAGAATTCAGAGGATTCTTAGATGAGGAACTGGCAAATTGCTTACTGTATGGGGAAAGGGCAACCGTGGTAGAGCCCAGCACCAGCTGTTGAGAGGGGTTCATTGTTGGATTTGTTGACGAAGCTGTGCATTTTGAAGAGCAAAAGAAGGAATTGTTTGTGCTCATCATATTCCGTGCAAAGAGTAGTAGACCTCTGTTCTCAAGTCTCAGTCCAGTGAGATTCAAAGATGGTCGGCATACCTTGCAGTTCTATGTTGCTGTTGAAACAGCGCGGTTCCGAGTCCAGCAAAGGCATTGGATGTGTCTACTTGAATATTAGGTTGGAAAACTAGGCGAATCCGCACCGACTGAGACAATGCAAACAAGGACAAGATGTGAGTAGTCCCCAAACATGGATTTGCAGAGGGTTGGTTTGGCGTGCCTGCCAGTCTCACAGCAAACGCACTTCAGTAATCTTGTGATTACTCTTTTCCTGATAATCAGCTTATTGTGTCATTTGCTCAGTGATCCTCTCGTCTGCTCCACTTATTTTCCCCGCTTATTTCTATGTCCTTCGCGTGGAATCCGGCCTGATAACGACCTTTGAATCTCGAATCCATCAGTTTTGAGTGTGTTCCTCTCGAAGAAGTTGAGATTCATGTACTAGAGGTCCACAAAAGGCAAGCATCAGCTTTTTGCGCCCTCGAAGGCTTTGTTACATGATTACACATACTAGTGGATGTGCAGAATAGAGAGACAGCTCTATGCCGCTGGTCCCAAAACGAGCTATTCTATTGAGAAAGCCTTCCTTCCTTTTGAAGCCGCCAACTGTGCCCAAAAATAAACACCATCCATGCCAATGGACTGAAACTGACGCACAGAAAGCCAAGCAGTGTCCCTGTCCAACCTACATTGATTCGATCTATAAGCGGTACGGCAGCAGCAGTCGCACCTGCTCCAAACAAGCATCGGAAAAAGTTCGTTGCAGCGGTGGCGGTGGCTGGCTGTTCAGCATGACAGTCGATGATCAATGTCGTCAAAGTACTGGTAATGCCGGATAATGCATGAGCCACCAAGAACAACATGAGAAGCGGCACAGCAACCTGAGCTTCAAAGTTAAGAACCCAGGCATACACCACAATGAACACGGAAGCGAAGTATACGAGTGGGAGAGCGACCTGAAGCCTGGCCTTCTCTAAAGGAAAACTCGTAAGTTTGAGTTCTTTCTTGTCATGGATATCAAATCCGACATGATGTGCAAAACGTCGAAAATTCCAATTCATCAAGGTTCCGGCTGTCCATCGCGAGGTCAGGCTTCCGCCTCCATACGATAAATAGCATAACCCGATCTGCAGAGCATTGAAACCATAGTGCCTTCCCAGCTCGAAGGGAAGGGTCGTCGTGATGGAAAGATAACCCGCATAGATGATGGCGCTGAAAAGGATGGTGCATGCAGCTTCTTTGTCCCAAACCAGTTTGAGGGTATTCCAGGGGCTCGGACGCTGCTTGAAGGTGGTTATTGTCTGGTATTGGGGAGGTGTCGAGCGGCGACCTGGAAACAGGACGTCTTTCAATGGATAATTCCATTTCTGCGGGGCAACACTGCCATTCCCTACGACAGCACGGCAAGTTTCAGGCAGCAGTGTGACGACCAACAGAAGCAAAATTCCGGCAAAGATCGTCAAAAACCAGAAGGAGCTCCGCCAGCCAAGGCAGTGAGTGAGGATCCCTCCTACTACTGGGCCAAGAGCAGGGCCAACGGTAGCTCCCAGCACCGTGTATGCCATATATTTTCCGCGCTCCGCACCACACACCACATCAGCAGTTGTTGCGGTGCCCACAATGGCCACAGTGCTGCTAAAGATACTCTGGAGAGACCGAAGTACAATGAGTGCAAGAAAGCTTGTTTGGACGGCCAGACCGACATTTATTCCAACATACAAAATCAAACTGATCATGAGGGTAGCCCGTCGACCTGTCTGATCTGACAGGCTACCTGTTACCAACGGCGCGACTCCTTGAAAGACCTAGGCTTTGACTTAGTCTATTGCCATTGGCTTGAAAAGGAACGCAGAAACTGACCTTGAAGGAGGTGATGGTAAGATTAATGGTGTTGTTCGACACATGAAGATCCCGCGCCACTGCTTCAATACCCGGGTAGTAGATGCTGGCCGAGAGCGGAGACAAAAAAGTTGCCAGAGAAGCGATCGAGACAGTCAAGAGCTTTTCTCTCTCGGATAAAACACTATAACATGGCCCGCCAGATTCTGACTCAGACCCTTCTTCTGTTCCACACAATGTCGGTAGCTGCTTCTCGGCCGTAAACTGGCTGAGTATATCTGGTTTCGAAGGTATGGGACCTGAATGCTTTCCGTCCGCCATCGTGCTCTTAGTCGATTGAAGAGCATATAATCCGGCTTTCTTCTCAGATAGCCTCTACAGAAGTCCCAAATTGCTGGATCATTTTACCATGTAGTGTGAAAGAGCCCTCGATTTCTAGGTTAAGCCGGTTCATCTCGGCGCACTTTCTGGGGTTGGCCAGATCATTCTTATACCAGTCATCATCGAGTGATGCGATGATGTCTGGTCTACTGACATACCTGTATTGGCCATGGAATGTATGAAGGCGAGAAGCGCAGGATTACAACCAATGGTCCGGCTACGGGCCCAGAAGCCTGTCTGTGTTCAGCTTGACCAGATCACAAAGACGCATCATTGCATCAAGTGGGAGTACGCACACAAGCACATTCCAGATTGCCTCATATGCCGAGATCACCATAAGTGCTTGGTAGTGTCAAACTAATATCAAGTGCTTACATGATGCAAGTGCCCCTTGCTTCCGAAGCAACGGCCTGTATGACGCTTCACCGGACACGACAGGATATTAGTGCCCCTCGATTCGCAACATTCTAATTTGCATACTGACGGCTTTCACCCTTCGGATGTGTGACGTTTCTTTTTGGAAAATGATCCGATCTCGGTACGAGTATCTGACAAACTGTGATGAGGAAACTTACAAGACTGGGAAAACTAAACGGAGGTCAAAGCAAAGGAAAATGGAAGATCGACGGACTTTACATGCTTGTAGCCCCTTACATGGTCAACACTGAGGTGTATGATGACCCGGTGAAGGTACTCACCTGGGCCAGCTGTTATCGGAACAAGCTCATGCTCTCGTACCAGAAAGGTCTTTCCGGAAATTAAGTTGGAATTAGATTATCATCATTCCCAAGATGCGCGGTAGAATGTCGGACATTCTATAAGCCAATAGATGGTGGTATTCTTATCAGCTCAATACACAGCTGGTAAGACGAAATGATTCCAACTCCATCAAGCACATGAACTAGAGAGACCTGACGACGTTTCAATATTCAAAATCCCTCTGGTAAGTTGCGGCCGCTCAAGCATGTGATAAGACTGCCGTCTAGACCTAGACTGTGTTTCACTAGAGCATACACTGAACTGTCAGAGGGAAACACAAGCTTCATATAAAAGCTCAACTTCGGTTGTATCACAGAGCACAGCAGCAGCAAAGTAACGCGTCAACCCGTCAACCCCCAATCTAGGCTCTGCTTTGTCCCTTCTTGAGGATATCCAGCTCAGAAAGCAACGCACAAGCTGCAACGATTCGAAAGCTCTTGAGCTCGCCGTAGTCGATTCTACGACGATAAGTGCTATTGGCATTCTGTTCCTCGGCAACTTGAAAACGCGCAAGGTAGAGCTCTAATGTCTTTGTGCCAGTTTTATGGTCTGTAGGCGGAATCTCCACCATTCGATATCTATGCATCTGGTCCGTGATCACCACGCAATACGCTCGAACTCATTCACCAGTTTCTGCGATTGATCGCGCTGTCAACGAGTCTGTATGCCAGACTTGCTTATGACGGAGCCGGTAAAAGGCCTCTAGCTCGCTAAGCGGGTTGATTGGTGGTCGAAGTAGTTGTTTGTTGCGGAAATGATTCCGTCCTCGTACATGAGATTGCTCCGGAATTGTATGAGATTCAGAGCAAGGACTTACGCCAGCCGCGTGCGCGTAGCTTCCTCTATCCAACGCTCGCATGACATTGCCCAAAACGCATCGCACGGCCTGGTTATTGACCAAATAAATTCATCCTCAGACTTCTTGACATGGGATTGTCGGTAGATCTCATCAAACCGGATCTTTCGCTCGATTATCGATAGGTACAGCTTTTCTGAGGATCTTTTTGGATCTGTAGTATTTTCTGAAGGTGCCTTCGTCATATGGGGCCTGCAGTCCGTGAGCAAGGAACAAGAAACATAGAAGAAGGAGCTGCGGGATTAATTGCAACGACTAGAGAATTCTGTGGGAGAGGAGTACGTGAGGGAAAGGTGCAGTGACCGTGACGGGAAGCAAACAGAAGCAGGCCGACTCAAACTGGGGTAGACCTGAGTTCAGAACGACCTTTCTACGCTAATCAAATGGATGCTGTGTTCGAATCTATTCTAGTACTTCTTCTGAGAATTATATCATCGAGGTCGTATTATCGACTGGTCATTTGGTTGTAAGAGACCAGTGCAAAAGTGTCATAGACTTGGCTGTTCCATAGAATATACTCATTTATACCAAAGATAGTTAAGAGACCAAGTCTAGATATCCCGAACACGGGCGTTCCTGCTTTCGGCTGCATCTTTCTTGTTATTATTGTACAAATCCCTAGCTGTCATGCAACATCATCAGTAGTATGCTTCTGCTCTTTGCGCAGACAAATTTCGTTGTGATTTGCTGAGGCGATGCAAATATCATTGTCGGTGAATACTGAGGGCTGAGCAACACCAGCCGCGTTAAGGAGCAAGTGAGCCATGGTTGAAGACGATCAGGCGTCATCGCCTAATTGTAAACAGGTTTTGCCCAGCCAACATTTCCGTTTTCTTACATGCCACTCCTCCCCCTCAACATGGCTACAAAGCTGTCCCCGGAGATAATAATCCAGATCTTGAAGAACTTCGAAACCGTCGAAGAAGTTGTGGTCTGCGCGTCAGCATGCAGGCAGTTCCATGGAGTGTGGTTGTGCCATGCTCCCCAGATAATATGGACTATTGGGCAGAGGCAGATCCTGGCCTTCGATGATGCTTTGATGGCAGTAAGTGGTGGAAAACTGTATATGTTATCAAGAATGACAAACGAGTCTCCAGGTTCGAGCGACAGAAATCGTGCTCGAAAGCTTCCAGAAAGAAGAATTACCCCCAGACCCGTTCCCCCTTTCCACCTTGAGTGGTGGCGTTCGCAAGCCGTCGCTCAAAGAGTTCCAGCAGGTGCGCAACTTTGAGCATCTGGCTAAGTGTGCCGAGCAGATCTATCAGGAAGGCGAGGAAGACTTGAAGAATGAAATACAACGTGACCAGCCAGACGGCACCGCACTGTGGGTTCTCTGGAGAGAGCGATTCCACAGTTCCATCTACCGAGTCCTCCTGGCAGGCGCCGTACTCTATCGCGCATACCAGGAACCGATGTACTTGGCTGCGAATTGGGGACTACCGAACTTTCTGAAAAAGTACGTCGAGGCATTGGCATCTGATGACATGTCGAGCGAGCCAGTGGGTGGAGACGAGCTCGATTATCTCATGATATTTTACTCCTACAATCTTGGAGAGAGCGGAAACGTTCATGGCGGCTTCAAGACTCTGGCAGAGTTTCTTGTTCAGCAAGGCAAGAAGCGTGCACAACGGCAAAAGCTTCACGCGCACACCACAGCGATCCTTCCCAATTTCGCAGCGCCTCAAGGCCTTAGTGACTCAGAGGCGGCTGTTCTGTTCATCGAATTGTGTCAGCTGCTTTTTGCCGTGGAGGCTTTAGTTGGCATTCAGGACAGGCAACCGATCATCGTCAATGGGAACGGCTCCGAAGAACATGGAAGGACTAGACTCGCACCGGATCTTCTTTACAAGCCCGCCAGGACGATTCCAGTTGTACTATTCGGGACCTTTTTCCCGGAGTACATCTCAACTCCAGCAGCGGCCGCCGATGCAGTGGACTCTCATCTCGTCGCTACTCCTGTCTCTCGTCCGTCACAGACAAGATCAGGGGTTGGGTTTCAGCATATCTACCAGTTCCTGTATGATCTGCACCGAATGGCGGGTCGTGACAATGAATTCTCCTCTCTAAACCCTGCGCCGTATCCTCACTATCAATTCTTTGAGTACATGTTTAGAGAATACCTCGGTCTCCGGTTCGTTGATAGTGATTTCGACTGTCATTCCGACGAGTTCATTGAAGATGGCTTCATCTTCGCAGAACGAGATAATCTTCTCGCTGCCGCTGAGTATGCTGAGACAAGCGATACGACAGCCCTAGCTGCATTATTTGAGCCAGTAGCTTCAACTACTGGAAAGACTTGAGGGTGTTTTGGTTTATCGCTCTTGGGATGGCTTCCTCAAGCAGCCGCCAGATACCTTTGCGCCATATTCGCTTCTCAATTGGCTATCAGTTATTAGAAAGTCTAGTTCTTTTGAGTATGAAACAAATGGAATTATTATAGACGGACAAGATGGCAAGGGGGATACCTCTGATCCTTGGTTGGCTCTACCACGCATAGTGACATAGCTATGATACTCTCTTTGAAGAACATCACCACACTTGTGACCTCTACAGCTGCCATTCAATCACTGATGATCTTTTGACATAATAAAATAAGACAATCCACATGAATATGGCTGATCAAGACACCTCCAACACCAACACCATCTACTCCCAACCGCACCGCAACCAAACCTACTCCAGCGCCAACAACCCTCCCTCCGAAGAACACCCCCGCCGAGCCCTCAAACCAGGCATCTACGTCCCGCTCCTCGCCTTCTTCTCCCCGGAAACCGAAGAGCTCGACGAGTCCACAGTCGCCCAGCACGCTGTGCGCATGGCCAAAGCCGGGGTCATGGGGCTCATCACCCAAGGCACCTACGGGGAAGCCGCACACCTCTCGCACACAGAACGGGCCCGCATCACTCGCACCACACGCCATGCCGTCGCAGCAGCGGGGTACCCGCAGCTCCCGGTAATTGCAGGCTGCGGCGCGCCGTCCACCAGCGAGACGATCGAGCTGTGCCAGGACGCGTTCGAGTCGGGCGCGGACTACGCGCTCATCCTGCCTCCGTCCAGCTACAAGGCGCAGTACACGCTTCCGAGCCTAAAGGCCTATTTCGAGGATGTGGCTGGTGCGTCGCCCATCCCGGTGCTGGTGTACAACTACCCCGCCGTGACGGGGGTGGACCTCGACGCGGAGACGCTTGCTTCGCTGGCGGGGCATCCGAATCTCGTGGGGTGCAAGCTTACCTGTAACGATATGGGGAAGATGAACCGGCTCGTTGCGGCTGTGCACCCTGCGACGGCAGCGGAGCGGGGGTCGGGGTTTATGTGCTTTGGGGGGTCAGCGGATGCGACGCTACAGACGTTGGTGGGCGGTGGTTCGGGTGTGGTTGCGGGATTGGCGAATCTTGCGCCTAAGGCGTGTGTGAGGCTGGTAGAATTGTATCATTTGGGGGAGATGGAGGAGGCGAGGAGGCTGCAGGGGGTGGTTGCGAGGGCGGATCGAGTTGCTACGGAGGGCGGGGTGGGGGCTGTCAAGAGTGCATTAAGAGTGGGTTTTGGTTATGGAGGGTATGCACGGAGGCCATTACGGGGGACAGAAGCAGAGGAAAAGAAGGAGAGTGGTGCAGAGGGGTTGAAGGAGGTGGTGGAGTTGGAGAAGCGGCTGTAGTGAAGGAAACAATCACATGTGTGATGGCCGATGAGCGAACGTGGTCAGCCTTGGGCATTTCGGAGACCGAAAACCCGGCAATCCTGATCCGAAGCCCCTACTGCCCCGATCATACGGTCATGTTCATGCTGTCGATCCTGTGAAAGGCTAGACACTTTTCTTGGGAGGCGTTCAATAGGAACTCCTGAGTATTACGGATGGAGGATGGCAACGGCGGCAACCGACATGGGTCATGGATCTGATGTGGAAGATCCGCGTGTGTTTCATCGACTGCTCGTTCGTATTGGCGCCTCATCTGTTGAGAAATTTGTAAGAAAGTAAGCTCACTCACCTCGCAGGACATCGTGTTTCATTGATCTCCAAGTGCATATATTAGAAGTAGAACATGTTTTCAACAGAGGAGGCAATCAAGGCGAAAACAATAAATGAGCCTTTTTAGCAGCAGAGGACAGCTAATCGACCCTTTTCCTGTTCTTGGCTATGCAAGTGCGGGGGGGCGTTATGGACCTGAATCGAAGTTAAGGTAGTCTAAAATCACCGCATGATGAGTGCTTGAGAAGTCTTCTATTATTGGGCCAGGGCTCTGAAGCTAAAGTACAGTAAGACAATGCATGCAGCGGGTCATGTCCGATCCCTGCAGCTAGACCGCATTTCCTTGCCACGCTTGTACTTTTCGCAGTGCAGATGAAAGGAAGCAGGATTGACGGCATGCTTGGTTTAAAAAGAGCAATTGCTGGCAGCTCAAAGCTTAGGACATACCAAAAGCAGATAGCAGTCAGTCATATATATCTTCATGCTGCATGGTCACTCATCACGGCAGCGCCTATTGAATAGTACTAGACAGATTTATCGGTAGTATATGAATTGTGGATGCCTAGAATTATCACTCACCACTGACCAATTTTGATTCCAGAAGTAGGGCTTCAGTAGTGGGGGGGTTATGTGGGCTGAAAAGAGCGCTACAGCACTCTAGGATGACTTAGTTTTGAATCTTGTCTTTGATATAGTCTAGATTCTATCTAGTGCCGGAAAATTTTTGAGATCATATTGCAACCTGTAAAGAAAGCTATACTCCGCAGAACACAATATTCAGATGTCAAGGCTCTCACTCATGACTCTGTCAAAGGAGCATGAGAGAGAGTCGATGTCCCCACAATTCCAACAATCCAGAACAAAAGTATAATGCAACATCAAAGAGTACGCGACAGGACAAACAAACAAACAAGGACTGGAATGCAGTCTAACTCTCGAAGGTACGTACAGAATAGCTATACTAGTATGCCTTCAGTTGAGCGATAAGATAATAAAATAGTACTCCGAATGTAAGCAACCACGGCGTTCGTTAAACTAGGAATGATAACCACGCCACCGTCGGACCGATCGGGCAAATCCGTTTGTTCCTACGGACTAAGCCCATAGTACGTAGTACCAACGCCTAGTTTGGTAGTAGGACGGAAATGCGTCAGTCTTTTGCCAGGAACTCCATCCCTCTTTCGATCCTTTCAACCCCCCCTTCTTACAGGATCCTCCCTTCCTGAAATACCTGTCTATTGTCGCGTCTCTTTTTCATCGCGTTATCCTTTCTCTTGTCAGATCCTTTTCTACTCTTCCGATCATCTGCTTAGTCCTCGTCCGATGGTGTGTTTGGTATCTGCCACACCTCGGTAGGACCCCGTCAGTCTTATTCAACCAGCATCATTCTATCTCTCTCTCTCTCTCTACAGATAATCGCGCCACTGAGCGCGTCGCAACGCTACAGCAATCATGGGCCTCTCAAAAACACATAGGATCCTGATCCTGTTGGTGATTGACACCGCATTTTTCCTCCTGGAATTAATAGCCGGTCGGTCCACTCTTAATCACCATGCGCAAGATGTGTCTTCTGACTGATGCCATTCATAGGTTATACGGTTCATTCGCTCGCTCTCGTGGCCGACTCTTTTCATATGGTGAGCCCTTGATTCGGAAGAGACTACCTGCGATTATGAACCACATACTGACTTTGCAAAGTTGAATGATGTCATATCGTTATTGGTCGGATTATGGGCTGTCAAGGTCGCCAATCAGGAAACCAAGTCGAAGATGTACACCTACGGGGTAAGATTGTCCCATATCTTTCGCCTATGCGATCAGATCGACAAGAGCGAGACTAATCTTTTTTTTTCTCCATAATAGTGGCAACGTGCGGAAACTCTCGGTGCCTTGGTGAACGGTGTCTTCCTTGTCGCCCTGTGTATGTCCATTTTCCTCGAAGCAATCCAGAGACTCGTCGAGCCACAAGAAGTGAAAAATCCGAAGTTGGTCTGCATTGTTGGATGCTTGGGCCTCCTATCGAATATACTTGGTCTCGTCCTCTTTCATGACCACTCTCACGGTCATGGTCATGGAGACGACCATTCGAACGAAGATCTCGAAGATGTCGATGCGGCGGAACAAGGGCTTGGTCATAATCATAATCATGGGGAATCCACCTTGGCGAACAAGCGGGCTTCTACAGCTACCGTAATTACTCACCATCCACTATCTACACTCCTCTGGCTAACTGTTGGAAAAGCGCGACGATGCAAACGGTGGTACCGAACCCTCTTCTCCCTTCTCACGAAGGCGCCGGACCCTGGACACTCCACGCAGTTCTCGTCGATACAGCACTGGGACCGGGCGCGGTATCTTGGGAGTTGAAGACATTCAGGTTCACCCAGCTACGATGAGACAGGATATCATTGCTGCCAGTCGGAATCGCTTCGATGACGTGTCTTCCGAATCGGACAGTGACCAGCGAGAAGGTGACGAGAGTGACGGTCAGCCGACGGAGCGAACGAATCTTCTTGGCAACAAGGACAGAGCGGCCAACTACACCGATGAGAGCGATACAGCTCACAAGCGGCCAGAACCCACAGGTGACGACGACATCCACAAGTTCCACAACCACGCGCAACCAAAGCCCAAGGAAGGCAAGCATGCTCATGGACATGGACATGGACACGATCTCAACATGCGCGGGGTCTTCCTTCACGTCATGGGCGATGCCCTCGGCAATATCGGTGTGATCGTTTCGGCTTTGATCATTTGGCTGACCGACTACTCGTGGCGGTTCTACGTCGATCCTGGTATCTCTCTGGTGATTACAGTGATCATCCTTGCCTCTGCAATTCCGCTCTGCAAGGCCGCGTCTCGGATCCTTCTGCAAGCAGTCCCTGCAGGATTGAGTATCGATCACATCAAAGAAGATATCGAGGGTCTTCCTGGCGTCATTGGATCCCATCACTTGCATGTGTGGCAACTAAGTGACACTAAGCTTGTTGCTTCGATCCACATCCAGGTGGGCACGGAGATCAAGGGTGAAGGATCTGAGCGTTACATGCGTCTTGCCAGGCAGGTGAGGAAATGCCTACATGCTTATGGAATCCATTCGTCCACGATCCAGCCCGAGTTCGCCCCGGACAGCGACGCGGAGGACAATCAAGCGCTTCCTTCATCGTCTCGTGGGAGCAATGATGAACCCTCCGGGTCCAGCAAGCTGCCAAGTCTGGCCCCAAGCTTCCGAGAAGGAGATCCTCAGGCGTGTCTTCTTGAATGCGACGAGGAATGTGCCCAAAAGGGCCAATGCTGCCCCAAGAAGTCGTAGATAATCGATTTGATCTCATG